CCTAGCATGTACTTCATTTATAGTAGGTGATTATATAATAAAAATACACCTTATATTTTTCCTTTAATAAATGAACAATTAAATAATTTTTTAAAACCATACTGGACAAGAAAGTAGAATAAGGTGTGGACATTTTCCCTACAGTATATTAGAGTGAATAAGTTCTGGATATTTGTCTGAGAGTAAAAAACAAAGTCAACAGGTGAGGTCTTCGACATAACTGCCAGGAGCAGGTACTAAATTATATTATTTCATGAGTATATTTATAAAGTTGTATAATTTTCCTGTAAGCAATGTGGTGTTCAGCAAATTATTTAAGGTGGGGAGAGCCTCTGATCATTATAACTTCAAAATAAGTCTAACAAAGCCATTTTCCATATACTGGGGCCAGCCTTGAATATATTATTTGGGAAACTAATTGGGAATAAGGACTTTCAGAAGCAAGAAGAAAAAGAAAACAAGGCAAATGTGCTTTAGAGAAAGGTCACTGGGAAACAGGTCTGTTAAGAACTTCACATCAATTTTCACGAACAAGTCCACTGCACTGATACCACCCAAGGAACCAATCAATTCAGTCGAGTCCAACCACCTAACTGTGTGTTTGTAACCACTGGAAGTGCATATTACTAAGGGTTGTGATTTGGGGTCAGCGTATTTAAGGCTACACCGATACTGGGATATCTTTACAGCTTTCTACTTCAGTTTCAGTTACCCAACAAATATTTCGGAACGTGATGTGTCAGGTCTTATTCCAGGTTCTAAAGGACCACCAGGGAAGAAAAGAAAAAACCATTCATGGTCTCACCATCACAGAGATATTATAGTGGTGACACAAAGAATAAAAAGACAGGGAGATAAATATACAGAATAATGGTATATGCTAGAATAAAATGTAAACTTAGATGACATGCTCAGGAAGCCCCTCTCTAAGGAGGTGACACTTGCATAGAAGCCAGCATGAGGAGGAGGAGCATGCAATGGTAAGAGCTGATTGTAAATAGTGAAAGAGAGTAGCTAGATGCCAGACTACCTCTTATACCAGACAGCTGTTGCTTTAAGTCAAAATGACATGGCTTCATGTAAAAGTTGCATCAATCATTATCCTGCTAATAATGACCAATGAAGCACTTCTATTAAGTTTAAAGAAACAGAAGGTGGGTAAAAAATAACCCTCTGTATCTACACATTCTATGTAATATTAAAAGCATAATCATACTTAATACTGTGGAAATTCCTAATTATGAGGTTGGTAAAGCTTCCAAGTTGGTCATATAAAGAAACCAAACCCCAGGGCACTGATAAAACCCATCTGGGCTCTCTTAGCTGGTAAATAATAAAGCTATGGAACCCTGAAAAAGAACCCTGATCCCTCAAGGCCTAGCAAGGTGCCGCATATGTTGAACATGGTGGATCTGCTCTGAATGTATTTGTTTTCCAATCTGTTTCCCAACTATATCCTATAACACTTCATAAGTGCTAGGAAAAAAAATTAAGTTTAATTTGAGGTTCTATTGGTCGTTTCTGGAAACTTTAATTATCCCCCACATCTAAGTGACAGATCAGGCTTTATTTAAGTTTTCAGATATGCAATCAAAGGGACATACTAACTACAGAAAATATTCCATAAATACATAATTAGAAAATCCTAACACTACCTTTCTCTGCAACCGCACAGTATCTCATGCAAACTTACAGCACTGCACTTTTCACATTGGTATAATATAGTTTGCTCCTGTTTCCAACTAGCCTGAATGTTCTTTGGGGTAAGACTACACAAATGAATGCTGAATCTTCATCCAACCTTGGCAAAGATCTGAACTGCAACTGGGATATAAGGATGTCACTCTCAACACTACATTAAGGTGACCTGGGCTCCATTACTAACACCCAGGAGAATTCATGTGTCTCCGCATTCTTACTAGCATTGTGTTGATACCAATTAAGAATTCAAAGTCTGTATCTTTTTTCTTGTTGAGACGAAGTCTTGCTCTGTGGCCCAGGCTGGAGTACAGCGGCGTGATCTCAGCTCACTGCAACCTCCACCTCCCAGGTTCAAGCGATTCTCCTACCTCAGCCACCCAAGTAGCTAGCTAGGATCACAGGTGTATGCCACCACACCTTGCTAGTTTTTGTGCTTTTAGTAAAGAAAGGGTTTCACCATGTTGGCCAGGCTGGTCTTGAACTCCTGACTTCAGGGGATCTGCCTGCCTCAGCCTCCCATCAAACTCTGTATTTTATGTGATTTCATGATGGTTAACAGAAACTTCATAATATCCAAATAGTAGAAAATGTTTTCTGGCTGGGCATGGTGGCTCACACCTGTAATCCCAGCACTTTGAGCAGCCAAGGCAGGTGGATCACTTGAGGCCAGGAGTTTGAGACCAGCCTGCACAACATTGCAAAACCTTGTCTCTACTAAAAGCACAAAATTAGACCAGCATGGTGACGTGTGCCTGTAATCCAAAATACTTGGGAGGGTGAGGCACAAGAATCACTTGAACCCAGGAGGTGGAGGTTGCAGTGAGCCAAGATTGCACCAGCGCACCGCAGCCTGAGTGACAGAGCAAGGCCTTGTCTCAAAAAAATATATAATCATTAAAAAAAATTTTTTTAAGTTTTCTCAAGCTTCTGAATTATTCAAGAAATTTCCTCAATTCTCCATGTTGTATATAAATAGACATAGTTCGTTTATTTTAAAAACAATCTCTATTCTTTCACACTATAATAATGCCATTTTATTTCTAAACAGGAAACATTCTTGGTGAAACTCTTTTAGGTTCACCTAAATTGGTGCACAAGAGCCCATGTGCACATGTGCATAGTTGGTCAGATCTGCAAGTCCCCATCAATATAGTAAGGTTTAGAAATACTGTCTCTGTTTCCTCCCTTCTTCCAACACACTGGCTGAGGAGCCAGCTTTAGCAGCATTAGAAGATCAGATCAACAGAACATTATTCAGATGTTCACATGTAAAGAAGGTTGGCTTAAACATGATATTGGTAATATATATGTGATAAAATAGTTTCTGAAATTTTGGACCACTTTTTTGTTCAATTAGCACCATCTGTTTTACACTGATTATGCCCCGTTTACAATGCTAGAAACCAACAATACAAATGTAAGAAACGGTACCTGCCTTCAACTGTTCTTTTTAGTGGGAAAAGAGCTGTGTACAGAAGTATGTAAAATGCAGCAAGAGAACTGCTAACAGAGGTATGTCTATACAGAGTGCTGTGAAAGTTCCAAGAATTATCGATTTGGGGTATCTGGGGCAACTTGTTTATATAGTAGTCTAGAAATAAACTTATCACCTTTACTAGTTTGTAGGGAAGTTGAAGGTGTTCTAAGCTCAGTGACAGGGCTGTGGATTTTCTTAGACCGCAGCATGGAGAACTTTGCCTCATATTTGAAATGAGTACCTATTAGTTTCATCTTAGATATGAATGAGTCGTTCACACTCAAAAAACCTCTTGAAATGGGCCTTCTATGAGGACCTTTAAAGGATGATTTCACCCATACGATGTCTATTTGTTAGTCCTCCTGTAGCAAAGCTAGACGATGATATAGCTTCTGTATAAAGTGGTTTTTAAAGTGGTTTTAATTGGCAAATAGGTATCAGGAATGGAGCCCAGGTCACCTTAATATAGTATTAAGGATGACATCCTTATATCCCAATTGCAATTCAGATCTTTGCCAGAGTTGGACGAGAGTTCAATATTCACTTGTTTTTGTGTAGCCCTACCCCAAAGAGTTTTCAGGCTAGCTGGAGACAAAAGCAAACCATTATACCCGTATGAAAAGTGCAATGCTGTAAGTCTCTGCACAAGATACTATGAGGATGCAGAGAAACAGCATTAGGATTTTCTGATTATATCTTTATGGAATATTTTTTATAATCAGTATGTCCCTTTGATTGTATATCTGAAAATTTAAATAAAGCCTGATCTGTCACTTAGATGTGGGGGATAATTAAAGTTTCCAGAAAACACCAATGCAACTTCAAATTAAATTTTTTTCCTAGCACTTATGAAGTGTTATAGGATATAGTTGGGAAACAGATTGGAAAACAAACACATTCAGAGCAGATCCACCCTGTTAAACAGATGCAACCAGCACATTTCTAGACAGTAATATGAGAATATATAATACTTTTTAAAAATGTTCACATTGTTTACACCAATAATTACATATTTAGAAATGTTAAGAAACTCATGCAGAAATGCAGGCTCATGCATCAAGATGTTTATCACAGTATTATTTACAATAATAGAAAGTTGGAAACATATATGTTCAACAAAGGAATAATTCACTAAATTATGATTCTTTCATATGATGAAATAAGGCAATCAAAAAATGTTTACAAAAAGCCATTTACAAAATAATATTATATCATATACATTTTTCCAAGTATAAAACTCTGGATTCACAATTGCTTATATAATGTGACCTCATCAATATAAAAATGGGCTGGCAAAAGACTAAAATGAAAACTGCCAGTAGGTATCTCTGAGTGTCACAATAATGAGCAATCATTCATTCCTTTTTAATATCATTACAAACGTGCTTGCTTTCACAATAGCTGAGTATTACTTTATAAAAGAAAAAAATCAAATAAAATTGCCATGAACACTTTCAAAATGCTTAAACATATTTTGATATAACAAACACAATTTGGCTTTATTCTAATCTGCTGGAAAACAAACAAAAACCTTTTAAGGCCAATTTACCTTAGCACAGACAGGAACATTTGACCTGCACATTTCAAACAAAAGGCTACTGAGGTCAATTCATCTGAAAGGTAACAACATGGCCTGTCCCCAAGCACAAAGGGCAGGGCACAAAGTCAGAGAGCAGGTTGGTAAAGTCAGAAAGTGCTCAGACTGCTTTCTTCTGGGACTCTCTGTTATGGTGTAACTTCATGTTTTTGTTTCAAATGCTGTAACTCTTTGAAATAATTGAGACTGTTACATTTAAATAAATTTAAAGAAATATATTTATGTATTCTCACTATTATCTAGTCAACTATTCATCATTGGGTATACTTAAAGGTATTTATGTCTGGGCCAGGCATGGTGGCTCTGGCCTGTAATCCCAGCACTTTGGGAGGCCAAGGTGGAAGATCACCTGAGGCCAGAAGTTCAAGACTAGCTTGGGCAAGATGGCAAGACCCTGCCTCTATAAAAAAAAATTTTTTTTTAATTAGCTGGCCACAGTGGTGTGTACCTGCAGTCCCAGCTACTCAGGAAACTGAGGCAGTAGGATTGCCTGAGGTCAGGAGTTTGAGGCTGCAGTGAGTTATGATCCTGCCACTGTACCTCAGACTAGGTGACCGAGAGAGACACTGTCTCAAAAAAAAAAAAAAAAAAAAAAAGATATATATTTATTTCTGGCCTATACTGCCCAGATAATCCAACAAAAGAATGTTCACACTTTTGTTCATACAATAATTAGATATACCTTTTTAAGATTTTAAATAGCAGCACCTAGTGATCCTAGATGTCATCTATTAATAATTAAAGAAACCTTCTTACAATGAGGCAAATGAGTATCAGAGGGCAGCCCTATGACCTGTTAGTGGATCCTCAATTTTCTGGGAAAAGAGCACACTTTCCTTTAAAATGCTTTATTTTCTTTGGATACGTTACGAGGCTTTAAAATCTGGACATAAAATCATACTTTTATATGACAGCCTAGGACTATAATGTTTACAAAGAAGAATGTATTTTTTGGCATGTAAATAACCCTTCAGTACTTCTTTGAAGAGTCTGGATACCAACACAGTTGCAGGCTTCATAGCACTTCATGGGCCATTCTTAATTTCATGTGTATAATTTAGGTTATGACTTTAATTTGAATGTCAATTTCACCAAGAAGGTTATGACTTTCAAATAAATCATCAAACTTTATAAGGTTTTGTTTAGAGAGGATCTCTCCTAGACACAAAAGTGTGTATGTGTGTCTGTATCTATGTGTATGTAATGAGGTCATGTATCTTTAACAGGTATTACTACTCCAAACAAAGCATGTCTTTTACTACATATGGAAGAATGAGTAATTTTCTAAAAAAAATCTAACTCTGTGATATTTCTGTTCAATATCCCTTTCTTGATTCCAAATAAAATGACTTCACTGAAATATGACACCAGTATTTTATCCACATATTTATTTCATTCATAAAATTTTTATGCATAAAAATCATTCATCTAAAATCAGTGGTGTCACTCTCACCACAGAAAGGTTCCTCTGTCAATCTTAAGTATAATAATTTAAGACAGATTTCAAACAGCTTTTATTTCCAATGTGCCCTTGAAATATTTAAGAAACCAACCAACAATTTCTAATGTAAACCATTACCATTTAGTGTTATAAAGTATTCACTCTTACTACAATGACAATATAAATTTTAGAATTAAGAAAAATCAGAGCTATTTTAAAGGTTCTGTTTGTTTCAGAACAAGAAGTTGAAAACTATTTATAATAAATTAGGCTGAAGTTAAAATATCTCCTGGATACTATGCTGTTGATTTAATACCCAAGATTGACTTTTAAAAATATAAAATCCCCTTTAAAATGTGACAGTTACACACTATATCTCCATGTGCCTTTACTTGATATGTCCTTTTTCTTTCTAAAATGGGTATCTTAATATCTATGATGTCAAAATACAATGACATCCAAATTCAATCTTATTTTTTCAACTTGCTAATCTAACAAATGAAAATTGGTTTGAGAACTTTCAAATACATGTAGATATATGTATATATGAGCATATATATTTAGACAAAATATGCGCTTATATAAGTTTCAAGTAGCCAACTGAGATTTCATAATATTTAGCTATGTTTCACATAGTATGTGTGCACACACACACATACACACACACACACACACAAAGTCAAGATAGCCTTACCATATTCTTTAGATCTACGAAACAAAGAATTTGAAAATTCATTCAAAAATATAGGAAAAGTTTTGAATAAAAGACTTAAAACAGAATGTCTTGAGATACGATATAGAAAATTAATAACCTAACTTATTCATAATTATTATTACAGTTAATAGGTACTATGATACCCTCTAGTGGGGCAGGAAGGTCATACCTCTGGTAATAACTTTCAATTGCTTCTGAAGTATGATGTTTGGCATGCGTTCTTTTAATGTGTTTCTGAAAAAAAAAAATCTTTGTTATGTCACAGATGAGGTTCAAAACAAGAATGACGTATTTCTTGATCCCAATGACTAGCACATAGGGAACACTAAACAATAGCTTGGGGATTTTGGTAATGGCAGGACTTCTTTTCCTTCTCCATGAACCTATGCATTTTAATCTCTACTGCTTGGCTGGATGTCTTCAGACTGTACCACAAGGTACAGTATATATGTAAAAGCCAACAGGGTCATAGTAATTGAATGTAAATAAGTTTGCTTAGGGCTGCAGAGGGCAAAGAAAAACTTGTTCCCTCTTTCAACCTTTGTATTAATTTTCCCTCGATTCAATTCCATCTAAGTCCTCTGCGCTCTAGTTTTACAATCCAATTGCCATTTTTAACCAGGAAGAACATTGCTTAAAAACAACTTATTTGAAAACTACAAAAAGTAATTCCATAGAGACTTGCCACTTGACTGACACCTGTCATCTCATGATAAATGACTCCATTTTCTGCCTTTCTTGCCTTCTGCCACTCCAGCAATGGTCATTTATCATCATCTCTGTCAGCAATGGAAAGCGGCACTGACAGTGCAAGTCAGCAAACATTTAGCACATGGAACCACGCAACACAGGGAAATTATTATTGTCAGAATAATAATGGTTTAGCATAATTTATTACAGGTCCACCAAATAAGCAAAGGCTAGATGTTATTAGACAGATGGATGGGTAGGCTTGGCAGGCCTCCACTGAGACGCAGGCGGTGCTTGATGTGGAAAGGAGAACATCCTCCAACCCAATCAGAGAGCTGGCAGTTCAATTACAAAGAAATAAAGGGACATTCATCATTCAATTAGGCACCTGTCAACCCTCACAAAGGAGAAAACTTCTAACCTGGTACTCCTGGGAGAAGATGCTCAGCAGAGTGGCCTGCGATTGACTGGAACAAATAAAAGAAGGACAAAGTTAATTACTGGAGTGCACGGCAAAGAAACAAAAGAGAAAGGAGCTTCAAAGGTAGGCCTGCTGCCCTGTAATCTAACAGAACATGAAAACAAGTGTGGAAAAGTTGTTCCAGATGAACACCTCAAACAAAGGCTTCCTGCTGATAGGTCAAGGAGAGAGAAAAAGGGAAAGGGGAAAATATGGATGGTCTCAAAGCAACTATCCCATTATTTGGATTTTTTAAACTGTAGAATGATTGTAAATCATATTTGTAGAATGCAATGGTGTTAAAAGAGACCACAAGAAAGCAAGGCTTATTTCCATTAATAAGTGACACAGTTCAATCTCGTAAGCTGTAGACAACATGCACGTCTTTCACTAACAATGTTCTGAAATTAATTCTGTTAGCAGACAGGTATTTTCCTCTACAGCTATCCCAGTTTCAGGGGGAAAACTCTGGACTTTACTACAAGTAGCACAGTGACCATGGGAACATTCCCACTGATACTGGCATGCTATGAAAATAGAAGCTTTCACAGCAGGAAGCAGAGGTCCTTGGAGTGAATCGTTCCTAAAGACTGCCCTAAGCCTTATTCATCTAAGACAACACACAATGTCAAACACCTGGCAATGAAGCAACCTAAGAAAACGTTCTTCCCAAGTGGGAATTTTCCTTTTGCAATTGTTAACATTTAGCAATGGAATGGCATTTTTCTTTCTCTAAAAAGCAGTCAATAACCACTGCTACTCTTTTCCACTGTCCTCTATAGTCAGGTCTACATTATCATATCTTGAAAACAATTATTTCTATTTTCCTACTACATACTATCTGAATAGATGACATTTTAAATAATTCCACTTTTATAGTATGCCAAAGTACTGTGAACACATTTTTTCTATTTATAAATGAAACAACCTCTTAAGCTCATCAAAGGTAATTTGGGGAGTGTGAAACAAAGTGACACTGTATTTGTTTACTCACTGTGTTAGTGTTGTCATCTTCTGGATAACATTACAGATTTGGCTTCTAACACTTTCCACCCTTACCAAATTACAAGACTAGGTTAAAAAAATGCCATTAATGTTCACCAAGGAAACTGATTATTAAAGGACTATTTCAATAACTCAAAAGTACAGAGAAATGATTAAATACAATTATAAATTCATTATAGTCTGATTTTTTCAATTTCCCTTTAAAATTGAAAAGCATCTTTGAAAGAGCCAATTTTATATAAGAATCTTGCTATTTTGCCTGGCTCAAGTGAGCTTAACATCCAAATCACATACCCTAGTAGGACTGCTGAAACTAACCTTCTGGGAAAAAAAGAAAATGACAAAATGAAGCCCAAATCTTTGTAAACCACTTAATAAATTAATGTTAGATATTTATGTGCCATAAATAGACCCCCTCTTCAATGTATAGCAAAATATATTTATGTTATTAACCATTTAATGGTACACAAAATGTCATTATTTATCCTTCAAAACAGATGATAGAAATAAATATATTTGGAATGAGAAAGTCAGGGACCAATGCCTAATGAGAAGAAAATAGACTGTAAATAAAATATACCGTAATTGTAGATGCCCAGAATGGGAAGAGTAAGAGGCAGTTGGAGAAATAAGTTCAAGAATAAATAGTTCAAAGTGAGAAGTTGGTCAGGAGTTGAGGCTACTGTATAAACCAAGGATCGGACAATGTCTTTAGCTAGAAAAATGTCTTCAAACGGTTAGAATTCAATTCAGCCAAAACCATGGACACAGCCTGTGGAGCAACTCATTTTCCTATGACTGAGAGGGTTAAAGAGATTTTGCCAGCTTATACTGGGGGTAAAAACTGGCTAGAACTATTAATAAAAAAAGAAAATGACTTACGTGTACATGGTAACCAGACTCGGGTCCAACATGCTTTGGTTTTGTTTGACTAATCAAAAGCTGTAGAGAATGAAGCGCCCTTTGCTACATAACCTGCCAGCCAACTCTCTGTTTCTGTAAGTGCGAACCTTATAGAAGACTATTCTGATAAAATGTCACACCATAAGTAGCAAGGAAGTAGTGTTAGAACAGCCAAGACATTGACTTCACTGTGTATGATTTTTACTTTCTTCCAATGTGTTAATGCTGAGAAGGAACACTGGAGCGAAAGACTGCAGGTCAGGAGAACTGAGTCCCATGATCTCAAAGCTATTGCTCTGAGGAACTTACCACCTCTACCCTCCCTCCACTATACCCTCCCCCTGTGTTTGATCTGTTTTGGCCAAGGGAACAGAAGTTACAGCATACATTCAACTTCACTATATTCACAAGAAATATGGTTTCCATCTAAAGAGGAGAGGAGAAAGATTCTGTACAACTGAAAGGTCTACACTGAACATCACAGTCCATCATTCAACAGTACCACTGTGCATCTACAATGTCCCAAGGTAACATGTATGGGAAAATATGCCATCAGAATCAAAGAACTAAATAAGATGGACAGGAGTTGATTTAGAAGAAATGTTTAAGTACACACACAAAGGTACACACATAAAAAGGGCAAAAATTACAACACTGTCAAGTACTCACTGTTTAAAAATAGAAAATCAAGTAAATCATACCTTGAATCTTTACATTTTATACCACTTAGCATATATGGGGTTTTAAATTTACATAATCAAGAATGCAGTCATTTAATTTGTACCAAACACCCAAGATGTAGTATTAAAACCCCATCAAAACAGTTTTGCTTTTATTTTTCCTATGCGACTCTCCCAGATTTAGCTCCACATCCTGCAGCTGTCTGGGTGAAAGAAAGCATGTGAGGGGACCCAAAGAATGGCTTTGTACAACCCTGTCCAAGTCTGGAACGGCAACAGCCATGCTGCAGCAATGTGGAAACAGCCCTGAAGAAAAATCCAGCACTGTGAGGATGGCAGACTGAAGATGGAAGAGCTTGGGTCCTTGAGGACACTGCTCAAGAGACCATGGAATTGAACTGACCAGACTCCATTCTTAGTCTGTGAAATAATACACGTCTTTTTTTTTTAACCTCCAAACCAAAGAAATAAAAAACTCTTTCCAGGCTTCTGTGTTCTCTAGTAAGGTGGAGGCATGATGAAGGGCTTAGAGACAAGGTGCTCCATAATGGTGGCATGTGTACAAGACAGAACACTTGAGAGGGGTTATCTATTTCCAAAATTTCTAGTTCTCCCCTCAGCTGACGGCTATATTTGGCTTCCCTAAAATTGTTCTTCTGTCTGTCACTGAGTTACTAAATTGATGTGCTTCAAGATCATAAACTGGTGTGTGATTTTCCCACGTAGAGTTTAAACATTAATGGGTTACTATTTGTTCTCATGTTATACTGCATCCAACCTTCCTCAAACACCTGATATATAAACAGGCAACAAACTAGTTTCTCATGTGATATTTAACTCAATGTGCTCCCAAGGCCACCCAGCTAAGATACTCAGTGACATGAAAGAGCATCGGAGAGTTGGAAGAGTGTAGCATAGACTAAGAGGAGAGCTGAGCACAGACTTAGTTGCCATATAACAGTCACACAAGGGTGAAGTCCTTATGTTTTCACATGGAGACCTAATGCAGGCAGAATCTTAGGAGAAGATATCTCATGTTTTATGTTCCTCCTCTTCTGGAGTATGCAATCTCTGAGAAAGACCATAAGGAAGTAAATGCCTTTACCTTAAAGCTCCTTTTCTATAGAATCTAGGAAGCTTAAATGTGTACACTCTACTAGGCTCAAAATTCTCTGAGAAAAATAAAAAAATATATTATTTCTGGAGCTCAGGAAGAAGCAAACCAATTCAAGAGAGATAAAGCAGGATACTCCTACAAAGCATTATACTAGCATATATTTGGACATCTCAGAATTGCTAGGCCTAACGTCTCTAAATCTGTGAAGAATACAACGGAACACTGGCTGTCTGCAGTTAATGATTCAGAGTGCTGGTCAAGACATGTTTTCTACAAAAGCAATGCAGCTACATTCTCTTGACCACCCTCCCCCCGCCACAAACCTACATACAAATATGAAACGTAGAGCCATTTTTCCCTCTGAAATCAAAATAGAATGCAACAAGATAGCAAGACGTGATACAATACCACAAACTTTGCTTATTTTTCAGGAACACAAATTAAAGTGGAAAATAATACGGAGGGAAATTACTAAGGGGAAAAAAGAGGAAAATCTGTAAACTAAATTCAAAATATAAAATTGTATCCATCTTATCTCTCATCCTATATCTTTTCTTCCTAATTTCCAACTTCATATCAAGAATGCAAACATTTTATGCCTAACCACAGCAAATATCCCCATAAACGATTATTAGGTAGATGGCAACATTAAGCTTAGTAGTAATCGACTATAAAAAAAAAAATTTCTTAAAAACTATAGGTCAAATATAGAGTTGAACATCAGTATCTGTTGCGGGGGGATTGGTTTCCGAACCCTCATGGATATCAAAATCTGTGGATGTTCGAGTCACTTACATAAAATGGCAAAGTATTTGCATATAACCCATGCACATTGTCCCGTATACTTTAAATCATCTCTTGATTACATATAATACCTAATACAATATAAATGCTGTATGAACAGTTGTGAATACTGTTTTGGGTTTGTTGTTGTGGTTGTTGTTTTTTGTTAGTCTTTGAGACAGTCTTGCTCCACTCAGGCTGGAGTGCAATGGCGCGATCTTGGCTCACCGCAACCTCCACCTCCCAGGTTCAAGTGATTCTCCTGTCTCAGACTCCAGAATAGCTGGGATTACAGGCATGTGCCATCGTGCCTGCCTAATTTTTGTATTTTTAGTAGAGAAGGGTTTTCATTATGTTGGCCAGGCTGGTCTCTTAACTCCTACTCTCAGGTGAACCGTCCACCTTGGCCTCCCAAAGGGCTGGGATTACAGGCGTTAGCCACCACACCCAGCCTGGTTTTTTATTTGTATTATTTTTTGTTGTTGTAGGGCTGCTTTTATTACTCTGCTTCTCAATCTG